ATAATGGAACCAAATTATGATTTACTATAATATCTTATATATCATGAGATTTTGATATAACGGAGCTTTTGATATAATGGAGCAAAGAATTGGAACAATGGGCTCCGTTATATCGAGAGCCACTGTGTAGTAATATTTCGAGTGACTTTAACCGGGTGAAAATAGAACAATAATGAATAATTATATAACTTTTCTCACAAAATTCAAGGATTACCTTGGAATTTAGTTGATTCATATGTTTGTTTAATCTCTTTAGTATTTATTAATCTGCTGGTACACATTGAACTTGGGTAATTCAGTAAGGTAATTTGTGTTGTTTTGATCTCATCATCAGCAGAAATAAAACTCCTTTTAATTTCAGATTCTTCGTGAGATATTGGCATTGAAGGACTCATAATGATCATGCGCCATTTTGAAAGTTTTGAGCTAATATCTTTAGCACTAGGTCGGTTACGTGGGTTGCAATCCATGCACTGCATGGCTAATTCAATAAAACATTTTGGGTGTTCTTTCAGAAAATTTAGGTCGTAATCCATGACAAATATTCGAAGCAAGTCCAGTGCTGTACTGAGAATCATAAAAAGGCTTTTTTCCAGTTGATAATTCTGCCATAATAACGCCCATACTATATATATCGGATGCTTGTGTATATTGTTCACCTAATAAATTTTCTGGTGCAACATAAGGCATGACACCGTAAATATTACCTTTTGAAGCTGATTCTTTCAGCTTCTTAGATAAACCTAGATCGGTTATAAAGGAACTTATAAAACCACTTCCGTATTGATGCTGCAAAATATTTCCACTATGAAAATCACAATGAACATATCCTGATTTATGTATTCTATCCAAATCATTTGATATATCTATAAGATACATCAATTTGCTTTTCCAATCGAGTTTTATAAAATTAGATTTTAAAAAATCGCACAGACTTCCTTTATTCGCATATTGAAACACCATAAGACATGTCTGAGTTTTTATATCCTGAGTTATTCCATATATCTCAAGCCCAAGACCGTTCAATCTACATCGAACGTGATTTTCGAACTTATAGAATTAGGTATATATTTGTCAGAATATATGTATATTTAAATTTTTGATTGCGCTTTGTAAAAAGTTGTAATGTTATGAGAATTCGTATTATTTTGATCATATAAATGTCAGATAAATATAAAACGAAATATTTATTGAAAATATGGGTCTTTTCCTTGAATCACGTTATGGGACATACGATTTACTATGTCTCATAAAATGATTTTCAAGGCAAAGTTCCGATGAAATCAACCTTTTTGCAAAGCGCTATAGTAATACCTTGAACTTACCTCTTTAAAATTACTAAGAGTTTTAAGGGCAACTTTGTATGATTGTCCACGTATTAGACCGCCATCTAACCAGTTTGCAGAAAATACAGTACCGTATCCACCTTTACCGATGAATTGAGGATCAACTAATCTATCAAATGAAATCCATTCAATCACATTCTTATATCTTAATGCAAATGAATTATTTGCTTCGACTGCTAATAATTGATATAAATCTGCGAGTGATTCTTTAAATTTATTTATCTTGTAATAAGTTTCTCCACGTTCACTTAATGCTTCTGCATTATTTGGTTCAATTTCTAACGATTTATTTAGATCTGCTAGCGATTTTTCGTATCTCCCTATCATTCGATAAGTTACTCCACGAATTCTTAATGTTTCTGCATTATTTGGTTCAATTTCCAATGATTTATTTAAATCTGCAAGTGATTCTTCATATCTATTCATCATGCGATAAGTATCTCCACGAATTCTTAATGCATTTGCATTATTTGGTTCAATTTCTAATGATTTAT